TCAGTCGAACTCCTCTGCCCAACAGTATTTCCGCTATATCTGTGAATCAGTCAACTCATTACTCTTCCTTCGTTTTTGTAAATGTAAATGTCTTCAGATTTCACAGATAAGAAGGAAGGCAAAGGACAATTCAAAATCTTTCACTCTATCTGGAAACTCCGTTTTCAGCGTTTGAAAGATATGCACGGCGCTGTACTCGGAGAGACCCCGAGAAAATAATTACCTTGATACCCCTAATAACAGAATGGAGCATAATCAGCAGAAAATATCGGTTCAAACTTCCAACTTTCCATTCACGTGCTAGTTCTTTTAGTGGTGCATCCCATATTAATCAAGTAGTTTTGCTCTCTCTCTCAGGGACCGTGGATCATGTGATATAAGAAACACATGAAAAAACTACATTTTTAGAATGTGGTCAACATAATCTTTTGTTTTGGGCTAGCCAGTAAGTTCCAATTTGTGCAAATTTGACGATCACTTTCATTACTTATTAGCTGTGGCATGACGTGAATAGGGTAGCGGTTTGGAATCCTGATGTTTGTGCTATTTTCGTTGTCAACTTTCAATGGGTGGCTGGATGGCCTTCTAATTGACGATCGAGCCAGTTGACATTTTACAAGGGTGACCCTTCATATTTCGGGATTGAGCAATCCTAGTGTTGCAATCTGGCCGCTCACAGCTCCATCGTAAAGTTTGACATTTTTGAGGTTATACGTACTCAGAACATTTCGACGTACGAGCTATTTGCGTTGTCTACAGTAACCTAAAAAATTTATTTAGGCCAGAGAATGGAATTAAATCGTGAACATTTTCGTGCGATTATTTTTTAACGATGCAATTGTCGTGCAATTTCTGGCGATGAAGCTCCATCAAGGACCAGTGCCTATTGATGGTATGGTGAATTCAACCGAGGTCGTAGTTCACTCCAAGACGAACTTCGTGGAAGTCGTCCAAAACCAATTGTTGTTCCGGAAACCATTGTTGCTGTGCACAAACTAATATGGCAAGATCGTCATGTCCGAAAATCTGCTTTTCAACGCGTGGAGAGAGAGCTGCGAGGTTTGGGAAACGAAGCTTCGTGACTGTTATCAAGTGAGACCATCTAGCTTTTTCGAGAATTTGTGGAAAAATTCTATTAGCAACATCATGGACAATACTCATGGCTCATCGAACATCTTCACGATAGTGCAAGGACAGCGGAGTATCAAAATGCCGAGAAATGTTTCACTTCGGAGGATTCTGAGCTCATAAACCAGCGTGAAATCGTGCACGCAGCAATCAGATAACGCCCGAACTTGCGAAGCTATGCAGAGAAGCGATAAAGGAAGGTTCGAAAGAGAGAACAGCGCTAGTTTACGTCGAAGTCACCGAAGAGGGGAACAGCATTCGTAAAGCCCGCCGGAGCATAGTCAATCACAAGACCACGATGACTTCCCATAGCCGTCCTGAAAGACCACTTAGTGCTTTTTGAAGGGCAATGTAGAAGGTCGTCCACGACTTCTACTCGCATCTCTTGGACAGCCATTTCTACCTGTCTACCTATCGCTTCAGGCAAGATGGATATGTTGTTCCTTCAGCTCTCCCTTTCGACCAAAGTTCGACGTGCCACCACGTCGATGAAGAATTGTCTTGATAGGAACAGACCAGAACGCCTTAAGAGCCTTCCGCCGCTCCTTGTCAGAACCCTGGCTCGGCTCTTTGCGTGGTACCTGCCCGAATGCAAAGTGCCCATTTAGTGGAAAACTAGCAAGACTGTGTTGCTCTATAAAAAGGGAGATCCAGACGACATTGGCACTTACCGCCTAATTTGCCTATTGTCTGAAACTCATAACCTCTTCATACAAGTCATCCTTAACAGGATTGGCAGAATATTAGACAATGGACAGCCATGCGAACAAGCAAGGTTTCGGAGAGGGTTCAGAACAATCGTCCACATCCACACGGTTGCAAGACTCATTGAAGTGTCGCAATACTACACAATGCCGATATGTCTTACGTTCATCGATTTAGATAAAGCCTTCAATACCCTCAAGACAGAAGCGGTAGTCGAAGCCCTGGTCTCGCTCACACAATGTCGGCGCTTAGGGCATAGTGGAAGCACCGTTGTTGCCGTAGTTTGCGTTCCTGCCCCTCGATCGGTGTCGCGTTAGACGAGTGTCGAGACAATACAGATTGGTATTATTCGTTCTAGGACCCACGCACAATCAGCTAATCGCCGAGTGATAAGGCGACGTTTTTCTCCCATTCTTTTTTCCTCTGTTTTTCTTTTTGCTGCCGCGATCCCTTATTTAATTTCCTACTCCTAGAGGCTAAAAAAGGTTGGCTACTTTCACTGTCACTAGGGTTTTTAAGTTTATTTATGCTTGTAAGTGAATGAATTTTTTCTTACCATTGTCTGTTATTCGCACCACGACCCACACGCGTGCAGTGAAACACACTTTTAGCTCGCCCGCACACCCCACTCTTCTTCATTTTTCTGGTTTCATTCTCGTCTAGCCCCCTTTTTAAAGTTTTTTCGAAGCCTTTTTTCATTTTGGAAACACCGATGCACGCAGTTTCTTCACCTCAGTCGCACTAGTTTCGATCTTGTCTTCCATTTTTCATCATAATCTGGATTACTCAAAATTGTCGTGAACGGTGCCTTCAAGAGGTTTGACAGAGCGATACCATCTTGTCCAAACTTTCCAGTGCCCTACTGGAAAACGTCATGCATTTCGTGAAATGGGATGGAATTCGACAATGCTTGTGAAAGATCGGCTTGCAACTGAACCTGACGAAGACGATGAGAGAAACGGATACGTACCTGATGCTCCCTTCACGCCGATTGGAATGAACATCACTGAGTGCTTTAGCTACATGTATCTAGGCAAGATGAACGACCTAGCGCCGGAGCAGAGCCGAAGGGAACGGACGGCGTGTGAGCAAGGACAGTGAGGGAGTAGTGAAGAGGACAAATCCGGCTTCGCGCCCACTTTTTCGACACTCCGGTCCTTCCTGCTTTGAATTGCGCCTCGGAAACTTTTCCTTTACGAAAGTAGGATGTGCATGCAGTCAGCGTCATTCAACGCGCTCTGTAAAGGACGATACTTGGAATCTCTCTATACACTCAAGTGCAAAAGGGAACCCGGAGTTCCGAGCTCCGTCAACGAAGGAAGATCAGGGATGCCGTTGATTTCGCCAAGAAATCGAAGGTCAGATGAGCCGGACACGTTATGCGATATAGTCCCTCGAGATGATCCCTCGAGACGCGAAACGAACACCACGACGGCCGCTGGAGCTACGGACAGATTTCTTTACAGAAGCTCTTCACGAAAGGTATGTTTTGCTCTTCTGCCTCGAGTGAGTGCGATCCAGTGGACCGCTCTGGCTCGCGACCAGGAGGAATGGAGACGTTACCGGCGTCCGCTTTCTCCCGAATTCTTTTGTCAATATCTCAATAGCGAGCCAGCCTGAGGATTAGAGGTATGCACCATTACCGTCTACTGCTCGACGCCAACGCTTAGGCAGAGCTTGTCGATTCCATGCTCCCAGAAGGACAGGGGTTGGGACTTGAAGAAGTCGTCGAGTGCCTTTCTGACCTCATCCTCTGTGTAGAACTTGTAAAAATTGTGTGGCATTGTGACCTTCAAATGCAGGGTGGACGAGTGATAGCTAGGCGAGTGTGATGAAAGAGTGTCATGCACAGGTCATACAAGCATGATAACGAATTCCCATCATCCATGCAAACGAAATACGTAAGGATCAAACACGAGGGGGAAAAATATATGCATCAACCTAATATAAGCTATAGAGCGCATGGCCCTCAAAATCTAAGAAAGAAAAAACTGTTAGTCAAACTCATACTCAGGCCCATATCTATCTTTTTTCCCAAAGAAAAACTGCTTAATCTTTCAGTCACATAAAATTGGAGAGAGAATTTGGAAAGGTATAAATATCAAGATTAGATTCTAGAGTTTCCATGCTTTTAAGGTTATGCAAAGTGTCGTCGACGACGACCCCCCCCCTCTCCGAATATCTGAGTTCTACCACTAAAACGACTTCCCGAGAGAGCGGAGCGTGGGGTCATTTTCTTGGTGGCTTTGTTATTGCTTGTGATTTTGCTCAGCGTTGGATGCAGTCAAATTCGCCCACGCTTAGTACGCTCTCTCTTTGCGATAAATATTTGTATTGAATCACCGTTGTTATACCCTTTCAAATGGGTTACCGCCCAAGTCTTCAGCACTCGTCCTGGTTACAAAGTACCACTATTGGGCTCAACGCGATGGACTTGAATTAGCGCCGATACCCCGCTCCTCTATGGTCAAATGGAACTAAACAGCATCTGTAATGCCCTATTCTTCTATTGACTCTGATTCAGATTAGATTCATGAGATCTTTTCAACAGCGTCGTGAGGAAACGAAATTGCATCAAGCATATCCGTGTAACATTCATTAAGTTGACTGTCATTGCCTCTGTTCGATGACTGGACTACGATTGGAAAACATTATTTTGTCTTTGTTCGCATATTCTGTAGTAATTACAAGTGAATGTGTTTTGATTGACATGCAGTAGCGGCGGTCACACGCTACCCCTCCAGCGAGCGATATATGCATGCTGCTCGAATTCGCATTTGCTGGTGGTGCACATACAACTCCGGGTTTTTTCTGGCCAACAAATTCCTTTTATCCTTCAATGGAGCACTGGTAGGCAACAGTTATCTCAATTCTAGAAGGCATGGGTGAAACTGGTTTTACGTTGAAATGCTCATTACAAAGATGTCTTCATGTTTTCATCTACAAAAGCACTTCAGCCGGCATCTGGTCGAATATGATTTGATATAACCTCATAAAATTTGAGGAGTGAACGTAGAGCGCGTTCGTCAGCTACGATTGTTGGGGAGTGATAGTATGTTTACTATCATGCCGTACCATTGTGTATAGAAGAGTGTTCTGTTGAGTATGAGTGGTGTGGGCTCTAAGATTCTTTGTGCTAACTCCAATAAAGGACTGGTCGTCTGTGGAGTTACAACAAGTGACGATCAGGACCAGGATCGAAGAAACAGCGAAGATTCTAGCGGCAAGTTATTCCAAGAAGACAAGGGGGCAAGATGCTCGAGTCATCTGGAGATGGAGCTGCCCCTGCTGACACCACACAGCTCGAGGTACTCATTCAAACTATGGTCCAACTACGACAATTTCAGCATGCAGGGAGGAAAATGTTGTTTTCCTCGTTGGTGTCGTACAGGGAAGGCGCACAAGAGATACAGAAAAACCAATATGACCAGTAAAACAAGATATCGAGAAATTTGTGGCGGATAAAAACGCTGGACAGACTTTTGACCACTGGTTCAATAGGTACAGACCTATCCTAAGAGATTCGAGTATACCAGAAGATAAGAAAAGAGATCTTATCCTACTGAAACTTGATGATGCCCCATATCGGAAGGGCGCAGATGATGTCCTACCTTCACACCGCACGAGATTGATTTCAACACGACGGTGAGGGATCCTCAGAAGTTATCTACATCCAAGGAAACTTCGATACGAAAGCGTTACGAGTGTTTGAGGATAACGTGTTCTCCTCTCACTTCAGATAACGTACCGCTTCGTGGTCACGCGAAGTTGGTGCGCTGAAGGAGATGGATTACACATAAGTCAATAAAGACCCTACAGTTCGTGGCGTGAATTTAGGACCCTTTACTACGGGAAGTATGTCTCAGAATGCTTCGTCGACTTGATACGCAAGCAGAAGACGAATCGAAGATCTCGTGGTAGAATGCGAATACATCACAGCATTGAAGGTAGATAACGCAAACATGGAAGCAAGCCATGATTTGCATGTCGTGCAGAAAAAGAAGGTCAAGTGTTTCAAATGTGGAGGACCTCACTACAAAACCTTCTGTCTTCTTGAAACAGTCTCCGAAGAAACCGAGGAGGCAGCACCATCGTCACAAGAGGAATAAATGCAAAAATGTTGTCGCATTTTCCGCTGAGAACGCTAGGACATATATCAACGTTGATGATCGAGGTCACAAACTTCGTTTCCATTTCGACACTGGAGCAGATATAACGTTGATATCACGTCACACATGGAAAAAACTAGGATTTCTCCTTTTGAAACCCTACACTGTGCCATTCAAGATGGCAGATGGATCGCCAATTGAGATAGATGAAAGATTTTATACCGAATTCCTGTGAGACCGCACCAAAGGTATACAACATCAAGGAGATGGCTACTGTTACGTTATCAAGCACAAACTTACTTGGCTTAGAGTGATGCACTCAACTCCCTGCATACAAAGAGTTGCAGGAGAAGTATCACTGCCGAATGGTGAAGGGATCAGAAGCAGGAAATCCTTGGTGGCAGATTTGATGAAGCAGTACGCAGTACGTTCTCAAGAGCGAGCTAGGTCTATGCAGGAAAGCAAAGGCGAAGCTATTCCTGAAACAGAACGCAATACCTGTTTTCGAAAAAAACGACCAGTTCCTTTTGCCTCCATTTCTGATTTGGATGCAAAAATTGGCCGACTAGTTTCCGATAGAGTGATCTCGTCAGTCAATCATTTGGAATGGGCCGCACCCATTCCGAATGATTGACAATCAGTCAAAAAGAAGAATGGACAGGTTTGCTTATGCGTCGATTTCTCAACAGGATTGAACGATGCCCTGCAGTTGCAGTAACACCCATTACCCACTACAGCGGAAGAGAAGTTCACGAAGCTCAACGGAATACAAATCTTTCCACAAATTGAGTTGGCTGACGGATATCTGCAGATAGAAGTCGAGAGCAGATCGGAGGAGATGTTGGCGATAAACACACGTAAGGGCCTTTACCGTTATAATCGTCTTCCCTTCGGAGTCAAGTCGGCGCCTAGCATATTTCAGCAAATTATGGATTCTATGATTTACAGACTACAAGGTGTTCTCGCATATCTGGATGACATCATTGTGACAGGACACATATCCGAAGAGCATCGCAGAAATCTGGAGGTTCTTGTCAACGGACTGAGTGTGGCTTCCATGTCCGCCTTGAGAAATGCAACTTTCTCATGCCTAGGGTTCGCTACCTTGGATTCACTCTCGATAAGGACGGACGTCGTCCTGGCGAAAATGAGGCTGTTTGTCAGATGCCAGTGCAACGGAATTTCGCAGAAGTTTGCTCATTCCTGGGAGATCAGTTATTACGGATCATTTGTGGCCGAAAAGCGCCAGATACGCGCCCCACTTGATGGACTTCTGCTCATGCCTAGGGTTCGCTACCTTGGATTCAGTTTGCTCTTTCCTAGGGATGATCAGTTATTATGGATCATTTGTCAAGCTGGTTCCTTCCGCTGGACAAACAAGTGTGATGAAGCTTTCATACGCGCCAAAGAAGTACTATCCTGGGATCTACTTCTGACACACTTCGATCTCAGTTTGGAAATCAAAGTCGCTGCTGATGCATCGGATTATGGAATTGGCGCCGTGATTCTTCACAAGATGTCTAATGGTACAGAAAAAGCCACTTGCCATGCAAGTGGAAGTCTCACCTCTGCGAAAAAGAGTTACGGTCAAATTGAAAAAAAAGATTCGCACGAATATTCACAATTCGTAAATTCCACCGCTATATATATATGGACGCCGATTCAAGTTAATGGCAGATCACAAAATGTTGCCACACATTTCCGGACAGAAGAAAATGGAGCCGACCTGTACTGCAGATGGCCTTCAACGGTGGAAGCTAATTTTCATGGGACATGACTTCAGTCTGGAATATCGAAGCACGACTGAATTCGGATAAGCCGATGCATTATTGAAACTTCCAGCAAACCAAAGATGTCGTAATAGCCAAGATAGAGCAGGATATCCCCGCAGTTATGAAGCTACCATAAAAGCATACTAGCGACCAGAAGACACAAGACGAATTGATAAAGGCGAAGAGATAGTCAAAGTCACCAGAGCATTGAAACAAGGAGTATGGCCGAGTAAGCCTGGAAAAGAAATGCATAACTGGAAGGCCTTATGGCATACACTGTCGGTGCAAGATGGATGTCTGTACTTTGGCCAAAGAATCGTTGTTCCGAAGTCACATCGTGGCGCCGTACCGAAGCAACTCTCCTCGATGGACATCCGATTGACAAGAATGAAAATGCTTGCAAATGAGGAAAACGTGCGTAAATGCCGTTACTATCAAGAAACAGCCGATATGCCAAGAAAGACAGTTCCAAGCTCATGGCCTGGCGAAACAAAACCATGGAATCGAGTTCTCATCGATTTCACCAGACCCATCAACGGAAAGATGTATCTTTTGGTAGTTGATTCGTACTCCAAGTGGGCAGAGGTCCTCGAAATGTCATCGTCCACAGTAAAAGCAACTCTGAGAGAACTCAAGATGCTGCTTGCACGATTCGGAAATCCAAGAGTGATTGTGTCGGACAATGGAACACAGTTCACACCACAAGAGTTTCAAGAGTTCTGCGAGTAACAAGGCATAG